GGGGTGGGGGGGAAGGAGGAAAGTGAATGAGAGCTCAAGAAGGACAAAGAGGGAGGGGAGAGAAAGGGAGTTACCACCGTCTTGGCATCGCTCTTCCTTTCAAACCTCTGTGTAATGATATTGTTTGCAGTGATGCTCAGACAGCGAGCACCTGCTGCTCTGTAATGATTCAGCCGCTTTCAGCCGCCGCTGTAACACGACAGGATGCTGCTGCTACTGTCACTTCTGCCGCTGCCGTTACAGATTTTGCTTTTGCTCCTTCTACTGCATGACAATTGTTTTCCTCGTCTAAGCAGATACCAGCCTCAGATGCTCAAGGTGAGAGTCTTGCCTTTCGCTCTGGGCTATTGGTTCACTTAATCCATCAATTTGTTTGGTGTGCGTGGTTTTCTTTCTCCCATCACCCTCCTTCCCCTGTCTTGTTTTGTTGTGCTTGCTTTTGGGGAGATGTTTCTTCCCTCCTGCAGAAGAGCTGGAATTGCTTGAGAGGTGTTTAAGGAATTATAAAAGTGGCCAGCAAACAGGAGCTCAGTAATTCAGAAGCTACTCTTGCTTCAGAGAGGCAGAACGATCAACAGAGGGCTTGAGGGCAGGGAGGGATAGAGGGGGTCTCGTTTTTCCTGTGCGTTACTCCTTTCCCAGTTTGGATGATGATGATGCTGAGCTTGGACCTTTTGTTGACTCCCACTCTGTGATTTTTGCAGAGCGCTGTGACTATTACTACCATCTCTTTTTGTCTGTGTCTCACAGTAATGGACTGTGGTAGAGTTAAGGCCTTTTGGAGGTGAGCTGTTTTGAGAGCTGATGCTTAATCATGTCTGAAGTAGCTGCCGACACTTTCCCCAGCCCCTCAGCTCAGCTGAGCCCTGATGCGTCCCTCAACGGGCTCCCGGCTGAGGAGAACATGCCGGGGACCCAAAGAGGGGACAGGAGGGTCCAGGGAATAGCAGGCCTGGCCTCAACCTGCTGTGTGTGCCTGGAGGCAGAGCGACTGAAGGGCTGCCTCAACTCTGAAAAGATCTGCATCGCCCCTATTCTGGCCTGCCTGCTCAGCCTTTGCCTCTGCATTGCTGGCCTCAAGTGGGTCTTTGTGGACAAGATTTTTGAGTATGACTCTCCTACCCACCTTGACCCTGGGAGGATAGGACAAGACCCAAAGAGTGCTGTGGATCCTACAGCTCTGTCTGCCTGGGTGCCTTCGGAGGTGTATGCCTCACTCTTTCCCGTACCTAGCCCCAAGAGCAAGGCTGAAGTGACAGTGCAAACTGACAGCTGGCTCGTGCCCTCCAAACCGTTCCTCCAGCCTTCTCTGTATAACCGCATCCTAGATGTTGGGCTGTTGTCCTCTGCTGCACCTTCGATGTCACCACCCGCCCTGGAGCCTACCACAGCATCTCAGGCGCAAGCAACAGAAACCAATCTGCAAGCTGCTCCAAAACTTTGTAAGTAGAAGTTATATGTTTCTTTGTTTCTCCTTTTACAAAAGAAAAAAAAAAACAAAAAAACAAAAAAAACCCTACACACCCAAAACACATTAAAAAAAAAAAAAAAAAGGCACTTACGTGTTCCACAGCTTTCCTCAAGAAGGATATGTGAGTGGCATGCAAAGTTTAAATGTGCTAAGACAGGTATAAAGATGGGTTACCTTCAGAGGAGAGCACCTCAGGGCCTCTGAACTTAGTTCTGAGGTGTGCCTGGCAGTGAGGAGGGCTTTCCTTGGCACTTGGTAAAAGCACCAGTATCACCCTTTTCTCTGCATCTGCTTACAGGGAAGCACAAGATTTACTTCAAGGGTTTATCTGATAGCTATTCCACATGGTCTATCAGCGTATTTTTCTCACAAATTTGATTTGCATTCTGTGCTGGATCTTCCATGTGTGTTCATTTTCTTTGCCTTGCCTGCAGAGCACTTCTGCTACCTCCTTCCTGAAGTCTGTTGTTGGCAAACATCCCTGTCATCCTTCTGAAACAGTCAGGGAGAACAGTGGGAAAGAGCGGCAGCGTATTTGAAGCAGTTAGAGACAAGAAATTATTAATTTATCAGTTAGCTTGTGATCTTTCTCTTACTTTTAAGAGATAAGACACATTCCTCTGTGTTTTTCCCCTCCCCCAGGAACTGATTCTTACTGAACCTTTTTCTCAGACTGCCTCATTGACTTTTTTGGGGCATTTCAGGAGAGCACTGTTAATGATGCTGGAGGGGTCAGTTTCCAAAATAGTCTTTGCTCATCCTTAAAGAAGAAATATCCAGGGTACTTGGATTATTTTCAGTAGCAATTAGAAAGCATCAAAATACTGCACTGCTTAAGTGTAATTCCTTTGACATTCATCATTTTAACCCATCAAATCCAGAGCAGATCAAGCCGGCAGTTCCAGAGCTGTGTAAAACTGTGGGACTCTAGTAAAAGAGAAGGCAGTGCACTGTTGTGCCGAGAGCACAGGGTTGAGGTTTCCTTTGGAAAGCTGCAGTGGCCAGAATGAGTGACCTTGTTCCTTGCATTTTGCCTTGCTGGACCCCTTATACCTTCCCTGTAGTGCAGCAGGATGGCCACCTTGTAGGTGTATGTCCTGGACCTTGCCCTGGAGCCCTGAGTTCACCCGAAGTCCATTACTGCATTTAGCCCTACTAGGACTGGACTCAGTACAGACATGTGGCAATTGGATTAGATGGAACATTTTGGGTCAACCACCTTGCTGGTGAAAATGGCATAACTGCAGTATTTTCAACGGGGGTCTCTTCAGCTGAGATTCAGTCCTGAACAACAATACCAAAATCACTGAAAGAAAATTTTAAGTATTCCTGTAGAAGCCTTTTGCTTAATTAATGGGTTACAACCAGCCTTTGGATTAGAAGTAATTTGTAAGATGGAAATAGTCTAATGGGGAAATATTGCTGTGCAGTTAAATGACAGGGGGCTTTGTCTGTGAGAGGTAAGACATTACTTGAATTAGTGGGACTCTTAACTGCCTTTGCAGTTATATAGAACTATACCAGGTGATTATTTTTTATTGCTGATGCAGCACATCTCTTTTTTTTTTTTTTTTTTTATAGTGGGACTGTCTGCACTTGTATGAGAAGAGAGATGTTACTTGATCTTTCTGTCACTGATAAAAGGATTAGGAAACAGGGATGACAATATCAAATTCTGGTCCATTCTAGTCTTCAATCTCATATGAAGATTCAACCCTGAGATTAAGTTCTTGATGGAAAATACCTCACTTCATAGTTCATAATGAACATTTAAAGTCTTAGATCAGTCATAAGGACAATATTTAATTTTTACTACAATCTGATTTTGAGCCATTAATCATTTGGTGAGCCAAGACCAAGAACAGAAAGTCTCAGAGAAAGCACACTGAAGGCCAGTGGAGTTAGCCAATGCCCCCCCCCCCCCCACGTTCCAAGACACACATTCATTAATGGGTTACAACCAGCCTTTGGATTAGAAGTAATTTGTAAGATGGAAATAGTCTAATGGGGAAATATTGCTGTGCAGTTAAATGACAGGGGGCTTTGTCTGTGAGAGGTAAGACATTACTTGAATTAGTGGGACTCTTAACTGCCTTTGCAGTTATATAGAACTATACCAGGTGATTATTTTTTATTGCTGATGCAGCACATCTCTTTTTTTTTTTTTTCTTTTCATAGTGGTACTGTAAATGACATTAAGACAATACTTTTTACTTCACAAAATAACCAAGGACAACCATTCAATCAAAATGGCCTCTTCCCTGTGAGAGGGAGAAGCAACTAAAAGCAAGTTATGCCAGAACAGCTCTCACCCCTTTGAATTTCCACATGTGAGGAAAGCCTTTACTAGTAACCTGCTAACTTCATCTCTGAAGTAAAGGAAGTGGGGGAAAAAGAGATTCTTTGGAACCCTCACTGACAAAAAGCCATTGTCTGCATTTAGATCTGCTTATATCTGGGAAATAAATGCTTGTCCAGAAACTAGGTAATTGAGTTAATTTGTTGTTCTTTTTAATGTTACCTTGATTTTTTTAAGATAAATGTTTTAAGGCATCATAGTCTTCAAGATGGATATAGACTGAAAGGAAAAGGAGAACTAGCAGCAGGTCAAGTTTGAGTTGCTCTGAGGGAGAAGGCTGTGTATATAGTACTGATTCTAGCTGTGGCATGTAACTTGGACTGTGGCAAAGGGCTGCAATTCCCTGCAAAGAGAAAAGAAAGAAACAAACAAACAAATAAATAAATTGCTGGAAAAGTACACTGCAGCAGATTTGCCTAAGAATTCAAAGAGGCATGAAAGAACTTTTTTGACCACTCTAAAAGCACTGTCTTGGTTTTTTTTAAACAGCTGCATTTCAAACACATCATTGTGTTTTATGTAGAGCAAGATTTGTTAGAGAGGTTGACAGATTGCATCAGCAGTAACTTTTTTTTTATGAATGCCTTTGACAGCTATAAAATTCTCAGAGAGATGGCTTGGAAAGTAGCATCTGCAAATTGGATTGTCCCTTCTTTTGCCTCTCAGTGTCCTTTTTACCATTTCAGGCAGAGTGAGGTAACTTGTTCCCAGAAAGCCCCTTTTGTGCTGATTTTTTTTTTTTCCCAGTGCAGAAATAAAAAAGAACTGACACATCTCATATTCTGTGGTTGATGTATTGCTTCTGAACCAGACCCTTCCATAAGTTTCAAAACCTTTTCTCTTCTTCTCCTGTCTTTTCTGTCTTACTCAGCATATTCCCCTTAAAGCTGTATCCTTCAAGGTCATAGTCTGCTGAGAGCTAATTGATTCTTATTTCTCCTGGAGCCAGAGAGAGAAAGCAGGAGAGAGACAATCCTAGTAATTGTGTCTGGTGCATTAGATTCAAGACTGGTCTCACTCTTATTATTATACTTTGCCCTTTATCAATACAGAAATAATCTCTTCCTTTCTATTCGGTTTCCGTTTTATATTGTAACATCATTTCTCCCTTACTAAAGCAGAAAGGAAAGGTGAATATTTTAAAGCATTCCCTTATTTAGGGAGTGTGTTAATCTTAAAAATTACACCGGAGAAGACTTCATTACAAGTGGGATGTGATATTACAGGCTAGCCTACCATCTTCCCCCTCTGAGAAGATATGCAGATTGTAAAGGTGCTAACACAGTTTGAGAGCTACATTTTACTTCTTTCTGCATCATCACCTTTAAATACAATTCCACCTTTTACCCAGGCTAGTAATAGAGGTGGCCCTGTAGTACTGTCAAAACTGTGTTTCTGTAATAACTGAATCTGAACATCTGCAAATCAACCTTGACAGATCTTTTCACTGCTCTCTCTTTCAATTTAAGCAGATTTTCCCCAGAACCACCCACCATATCCATGTGGGGTTGCCTTTCTGGGGTGACAGCTCTGCCAAAGGAGTACAGTGCTCCTGCGTTTTGGCTCTGCCTCAGACCTGGGGTGCCCAAGCACTTGTCTTTGGGACCTCATCTCTCCTGACCTGGTGAGGTGCCACGGGACACACAAGAAGCAGGGCAAGAGGTAAATCACAGCACAAAGACTGTGCTGGAGTGGGTTTTCCTGTGAGTGGAAGCAAAAGGCCTGGCAGAGAGCAGGGTCTGGAGAATATGCCTCTCAGGCAGCACAGCTGTGCTGCCTCTGTGTCCTTTCTGCTTTTGGCTTCCCTGGCCACCTCCAGTGCTGTGTGCTCACAGACCAGCTGCATGCCTGGTGCCGTGCTGGGGGCCAGCAGGTGACCAACAGGCACACTGGGCACCTCTGCCCACCTTCTGCTCCCCTTCAAAGTTATCCAGGCACAATGTCTGAATTTCTTGTGCATTTTTAGAGCTAAGGAAGGAAAAAGTGGAAAGAAAACTAACCTATCCCTTTTTATTTTTTTTTATTCTTCATAGTGTAAATACTACTTGCAAATTCTCTCTCTTTCATCTCCCCTTGCTTTTTCTCAGGTCTGCATTGGATGCTTTTTCTCCTATATACTGTGATTTGCGAAGGTCTGTATTTTAGCTCCATGGCAGGCTGGAGGGGAGTCTTTCCCTCCAGTTATAGGTGTTGCAGCCCTGCTGAAGGCTTCAGTTTATGGGCAGCAAGGGGTTTGTTCATTGCAGCTTTAAAGAGTGTTTGCTCTGTTTGTTGACCAGTCTAAGTCTGACCCATGCTCTGCAGTTCAAGTCCTCGTCACAACACTGCAGGGTTGAGTTCATGCCTGACAGCCTCTAAAAGTGTCAAGGTCAAGGATGTCCTGGAAAGCCATGGGGGACTGTACTCACAGGAGAGGAGAACAGAGGATACTGCACAGACCATATACCAGCCTTTTCTATGCTCACTGTTACTATGCAGGGCAGTACTACACAGGAGATTGCTTTTTCCTCAAAGTTTGAAGATGCAGGAAGAGAGCACCTTAAAGGAGATGTCACTCCCTTTCTGATATTTATGCCGATTACCTTCAGATTACCTTCAGATACCTGACTTAA